AATTTGTAATTCTTAGAACTCTTCAGTAAGTCTTCTTACTGGAAAAATATATTGACATTTTATTACATAATAAAAATGTAGAATTTAAAAAAAAAACATATAATTGTCAAATAAAAACATTTTTATTTATTCTTTTTCTATCTCAGTGCCTTTTACTTCTTTTTTTCTAAAATGTATTTTATTGATTTTACACAGAGAGGAATTGAGAGGGACAGAGAGTTAGAAACTTCAATGAGAGAGAAACATCAACCAGCTGCCTCTTGCACCCCCCCCCCCACTGGGGATGTGCCCACAACCAAGGTACATGCCCTTGACCGGAATCGAACCCAGGACCTTTCAGTCCGCAGCCCGACGCTCTATCCACTGAGCCAAACTGGTCCCGGCTCAGTGCCTTTTACTTCTTGATATTGTCTGATTACTCTAGCTAAGATTTCATCATTAGGTTGAATAAGAGTAGTGAGGGTGGGTATCCTAGTATTATTCCTGATCTTAGAGGAGAAGTTTTCAATCTTTCACTATTCAATATAATACTAGATGTAGGTTTTTCATATATGGCCTTTATTATGTTGAGGTATGTTCTTTCTATACCCATTGGTTGAGGGGTTTTATATAGAAGGGATGTTGAATTTTATCAAATGTTTTCTGGATTTATTCAGATGATCATATGAACTTTTCATTCTTTTTTTTCAAGTGTAGTTGGAATACAGTATTATATTAGTTGCAGGTGTACAACATAGTGATTTGACATTTATATACCTTACAATATTATCACCACAATAAGTCTAGTAACCATCTGTCACTGTGCAAAGTTATTAAAATAGAATTGACGTATTCCCTGTGCTGTACACTACATCCCCATGTCTTACTGATTTTATAACTGGAAGTTTTAACCTCTTATTCCCCTTCACATTTTCAACCATCCCTCTATTCCTATCCCCTCTAGAAATGACCAAACTTGTTCTTTGTATCTATGTCTGTTTTTATTTTGTTTTTTCATTTGTATTTTCTTAGATTCCACATATAAGTGAAATAATATTGTATTTGTCTTTTTCTTCTGACTTATTTCACTTAGTATAATGCCCTCAAGATCCATCCATCTTGACACAAATGGCAAGATTCAATTCTTTGTAATTGCTGAATAATATTCTATTGTATACACCTATACCACAACTTGTTTGTCCATTCCTTTATCAATGGACACCTAGGGGGCTTCCATACCTACTGAATGAGAGAAAATATTTGCCCACTCAAGTGAAAGGAACTATTATTTGAGGTGAACTATGTAGAAATGAAATACGAATGAGAGGAGAATTAGAGAAGGAGATGACGTGGGGCATGTGAAATGATTGCTGATTGGTCTGAGAGGCCAGCTGAGGTTGGAAATTCTATTAGATGCACCATTATCTGGAGTGCTACTACTTTCTTTCACATTGGCTGTTATAAGATTGAAGAAATCAGACATTTGGAGGGACCCAAAACTGAGGTGAAATAAAGCAGAAGATGTATTTGGAGATCACATGGATAAAGATGCAGTAAGCTCTAAATCAATTTGCCCTGAGACCCTACCTGGATAAGGAAAGGAGTGAAAAGAAAAGGGAGGACTTAGAGGCACTGAACACCTCAATGAAATAAAAAAATTAAAAAAAAATGACATGGGACCCAGCCATTGTTAGGAGATTTAGAGTTGGGATATTAGACAATGGGATATTAGAGTTGTCTTTTAGAAGTGAATTCATGCAGTGATGCCAGGTGACTGAGGGTGGTCAGAGTATTAAGAAGTTAAAGGGCAGGGAAGTGGGGCCAGCATGCATGAGATGGGTTTTTCATGTGTATATTGTTGAAGGCACCTAAGATAAGGGCAGGACTTGGAGTCTCATGCCTTTTGAGCTGGTCCTTAGAGTATGGATAATAGTGAAGATAATGCTAACATCTATTCATCATTATCAGCCTCAACCCCTTGATTAGTAGTCAGCACTGGGGAAGAATATAGGGGAATCAATAGCATCAGGAGGAAAGCTGCTTTCAGGTAAGGCCAGGAAGTCAAGGGAATATTGTGAAATGATCTAATTTCCTGTTTGTCATCTGGTTTATTTGTTGGCTTTTAAGCTGAGTGGGAAAAGCACAAAGACATATTTTACTATTTTTGCCCCATATCATCCTGTAATGGCAATAAAAAGGCCTGCCTGGATCTTAATACAGATCTCTGAACTCAGGTAAGATATTATGGGCACTAGCATGGCAATTAATATAACAAGAACGTTTAAATGGATGAGCTCTACATTTTCATTGGCTTTAGTATATAGTGGTTATCGATACAACTGCTAGGGTATGCCAGATATATAATAGTTATTCTCTTATAATTTCTATCTGGAAAGAAACAACCTACTAGTATTAGGAAGGAACCTATAGCTTACTTTGTAAAAGTTCAAATTCTATCCAAAAAATATTGATTATAGATATCACAATGCATCTTTGTGTCAATGAAGAATCCTAAAATTGGTGGACTAGTATAATCTAGTGTTTAAAGTCTCCAGCTTTGGATATTAGCTGTTTTCCATTAACCACATTTGAAATTTAATCAGGTTATTTGGCCTCTCTGCATCAAATTTTCCTCAAGAAAAAAAAATAAGGATGACAGTAGCATGTATTTGGTAGAATTGTTGTAAATATTAAATAAAATTATGCATGTAAAGCTTTTAGCATTGTCAGACACTTTTTAAAAACTCAATATGTTAATTGCCATTATAATTATTACAGGAGAGGCCAAATATTATATTTTTGCTGTCTAAAGATCTATCCATAAAAAAATATCCTAAAGAAAAGTTTTTAAAAATAAATAATACACACCATTCCCTTTTTTGGAGTCCTATCCCTAATGGGAAATTTCTAAGCATGTCATGATGTCTCAAGCTTTCAAGAAAGGTTGGAGTTCCCATCAATCAAACAGCAGCATATTCTTCTCTTATCCTTGGATATCATGTCTCCATGTGTTTAGATTTTTATTTTTTGCCAACCCAAGAGGATTTTCTCCCCTCTTTTCTCTTTAGAGGCCTTCTTCTTTATTTATCTTTATTGTTTAAAGTATTACAGATGTTCCCTTTTTTCCCCATGAACCCCTTCCACCCCATCCCCACCCCTTCCAGGCCTTCACAAAATTATTTGTCTGTGTCCATGGGCCATGCATATATGCATATAAATTCCTGGGTTAATCCCCCCCCCCTAACCCCAATTTCTAAAGGCCTTCTTCTTAAGCTCCATTCATTTTTCCTACTTCTCTGTCACCCTTCTTTAACCATTTATTCCATTTTAACCCTTCCATTTTCTTTATTCAACTACTCCTTTTTGCTTTTCTTTCATTTTACCCTTTTATTCCATGTCACCCCTCCTTTTAATTCCCCATCACCTCTCCCCTTTATTCTAAATCACCCCCTCTTCTTTAGTCCACATCACCCCTCTTTATTCAATATTTATCCATCCCCTTGTTTCACATCACCCACTCCTTTTTATTCCAATCACTCCATCCCTTAATACCATGTCACTTTTCTCCCTTATTTCACATCACATTCTTCTCTTTTATTCCTCTTCCCTACCTCTCCTTCCACTTCAACTCCAGCCAGAGCTTCCCAGCAATGTTTTATTTTATTTATTTTATTTATTTTAAGAAGAACTTTATTGGTTTTAGAGAGAGAAAGAGGGAGAGAGAGAGAACATCTGACAGGCTGCCTCCTATTACCCACCTTGCAGTGCAGGAATGACACTCCTAGGGAGCCACACACCAGGGCTGAAATGGTTGTTTTTTTCTTAATCCATTGATTTTAGGGAGAGTGGGAGAGAAAGGGAGAGACAGAGAGAAGCATCTATGTGAGAGAAAGTATTCATTGGTTGCCTCCTACAGCAGCCCAGACCAGGGCCTGGATCGGGGAGAAGCCTGCAATTGAGGTCCGTGCCCTTGACCTAAAATGAACCCTGGTCCTTCCACCCGTAGGCAGAGGCTTTGTCCAATAAGCCAAACCGGCCCGGCCCAGCCCCACCTGTTCTTGGACTGGACACCAGCCCCCCTGCCCTAGCAGACACCACCGAGAGGTCAGCACAGCTTCCTGGGTCACCTCCCACACCCATCTCCCACCAGAAGGGGGAGGGTCTCCCCATGGATAGACAGAGGGTGCTCAACAGTGGACACATGAGACTGGGTGACTAAGGGGTTACGGCTCTGGAGACCAGGCCAGGCGAATCCGGATGATGCTCAGGGCGCTCCCCTCCCCACCCTCCAGAACTCCAGGTCTGAGCAGCAGGGTCTTAAACTGTCTCCTTTATTCATTCATTTATAGTTGAGTATGAAACAGCTAGGCACCCACACACACTCACGCGCCTGAGAGGGTCAAGGTCACTTGGCAACTGGGCTGGACCCCAGACCCTCAGGCACTGGAGGGGGACCCCAGCTGGACCCCCACCAAACCCCCGCCCAGGGTCTGTGGGAAGGGCAGGGATCTCATGTGTCAGGGCCTCGTGGGAATGTCACCGGAGAGACGGGACCCCAGCCCTCAGAGCCGTGGGCCCGGCGGAGGCCCTTGAGCTCCCGGCCTGGGGGAAAGTGCAGGGCCTGGGGTGTGGAGCTGAGTGAAGGCACAACCCCACTGGGGCCCCCCAGGTGGACCTGAGCTGAAGGCCCAGTGTGGGTGTGGGCATCGGAACCACGGGGGAGGGGGACGGGTGGGGCCTCAGGGAACCCAACGCAGCCCTGCTGGGAAGGGGTGAAGGTCCCCCCACCTGCCCAGGCCTGGCTCATCTGGCTCTCCCGCCCTCTCCTCCCTGGACATACATATAACATAGAATATAAGCCTCTCTCTCTAGCTCTTTCCTTTATTTCTACTTGATTCTGTATCTTTATTCAAGAAGATAAAACTCCATCTTTCTTTTTTTTCTCAGTGCAAAGGGGGGGCTGGGAGGGCAGGCCTAACAATGTTTTAAATTTTTAAAAAAACCACACACACACACAGTAAGCTGCTTTCACAACACAGATGTTTATTAATGATTAAATGTCAGAGAAGTTTTAACAATCACAAATCATCGAGTTCTGTGGTTGTTACCCAATATGTGATCCATTTCTATCCCTCAATACAATACATTCTTCATTCTATGAATCTTAGCAGTTGTTATCCCTCAATATCAGGTATAATTTTGGATGTCATACGTAACCCATATCTGTGTATTACCAAAGCATGTCCCCCAAATTTGTACTGTCCTGTGTAGAGGAACTACGGAGATGTTAGGTAAGAATATTTGTAATCTGGTGAGTTTGACTTGTTGGAACTATGTCCATATCTAACCGTTTTTGCTGACAGGGTGTGAATGCCAGCTGACTGTAAAACAAATTAAGGTAAAATCAAATTTTTCCTCTAACTTTTGACCAAAGAAAGGCTAGCTAGACTTATACTTGAGATAGCCCTGAGCAAAACTGCACATAATTTTGGGAGTGGCTGTTTGACGAGCCATTGGTCTAAATAATTTGGGAAAAAGAAATATCCTGAGGTGGTGGAGTTGCTGCGGGGACACGGCTATGAGTTGGTGTGACATGATTTCGCATTAATTGTTTGTCAGCTGTCAGTAGGCTGACCTAACATACTAGCATGCCTCTTGAGGGCCTTTCCAATTAAGCTCTTGGGAGTAGGGTAGGAAAGTCAGGAAAAACATGCAATCTCCTTTGGGGAAGGGAAAGCACCTCGAGATTTGTGAGCTTCTCTGAAACAGGCATTTACCACAAATGTCACATCAATGAAAGAAAAGGCTGTAATGGGGGAAAGCCAGGATCAGGGGTAAAAGAGAAAGGCAAGGTAGCACCAGGGAGCCTGGGCATGACACCTAAACATGTCTGCTTTTACCATTTGAAGGGACCAAGCATCCCCAGTGAAAGGGCTGGCAGTGTATTTGGACTTCTCAACCTGAACCCGAGCATCAGGTGGAACTCCTCATCCTCAGATCTTTACCTTCAAGACACACTCTAAATGTTTTCCTATAACATCTCCCACCCTTTTCCCCTGTCCGGCACCTTATAGAAGAAAAAACATCTAAGGATAGTAATAGCCGATGCCAGCTTTGGCCTCCTCGTCCTCGTCCTCGTCCTCGTCCTCGTCCTCATCCTCCTCCCGGGGCACACGGAACAATGGGCCGTCTTGCTCCAGAATGGGGAGGTTGTCCGCTCCTTCCTCATCGTCATAGGAACTGGCAGTGCCGGGAAGCACAGCTGGCTCCTCAGAGGAACCTGGAAAATAGTAACAATGTTAACTTCTTACTTTGCACAGTACCCAAGGGACTAAGACCTAATTTTGAGCTTCAAATACAATATGAGGCAAGAAGTTAGGGCAGAAATTGTTATTCCCATTAGAATTGTAAGAAAACTGCAACTTAAGAGCAGAATATAGATCTCTAAGACTATGCCCACTGTGGAAGCTGGAGGTGGGGGAAAAGGAGCTTGGTTAGAGAACAGAAAGAGTTAGACAGATACCCCATGCTTAGAGCAAATAGACATTACCTCCTGGGAGGTGGGGAAGAATGCGGCCTCCAAACAACCACCACCACCACCACACTACAAGCAGCCTAACTAATTTAACTAAGCAAATGAGTAATAAAGCTGGAGCCAGAAGCTTACAGCACTTCATGGAGGGGAGAAAGCAGGAGTCGATCTTCAGTGATTCTGGAAAGGCTTGTAGTTCATTACTTGACCAGTCTGAGACTTGTTTTTAAGCAGGGTGGTATCTACAGGAAATGTAACATTGGCATCTTCTTTATAGAACTGGATTTCTTTTGGATTCTGAATTTTAGAGTCAAGATAATTAGGCATTGTTACTGCTTCCATATTCATTTCTTCAAGATTGACAGCAGGGTCTGGCTGAGGGTCTGGAATTATATTGAAAATGGAGACATCTTCAGGCTCTGGAAACACATTGATAACTTCATCTTCTTCAAAAGTGTTGTCTGGGTATTTTTGAGAATCTGAAATTTCATTGTGAATTTGAGCATCCCTGGGCTCTGGAACCACACCAAGAACTAAGTCTTCTTCAAAAATTGAATTTTCTTCTGAGTCTTGGATTCCACTGACATCAGAAGCTTCTTCATGTCCTGGGATTTCTTCAGCATCTGAAGCTTCTTCATTGTTTAGGACTCCACTCATATTTGAGGATTCTTCCTCATCTTGAATATCTTCAAAATTAGAGACGTCTTCAGGGCTGGTTACCATATGAAGAGCTGGAACCTTTTCGGGGTTGGATTCTTCTTCAGAACCTGCAATCCCATTGACCTCTGGAGTTCCTTCGTGACCTAGAATTTCTTCAGTACCTGAGGATTCTTCATCATTTGGGACTCCATCAAGAGCTGGAATTTCTTCAAGATTGGGATCTTCTTCAGAGTCTGAGAGTCCATTAACCTCTGGGAATTCTTCATGATTTGGAATTTCAATACCATCAGGGGCTTCTTCAGGGCTTGGGACCACATGAAGAGCTGGGACTTCTTCAAAATCAAGGTCTTCATAAGAGTCTGAAATCCCATTGACTTCTAAGGCTTCTTCATTGTCTGAAATATCTTCAGCATTTGAGGCTTCATCATTTGGGATTTCATCAAGAGCTGGAATCTCTTCAAGATTGGGGTCTTCTTCCCAATCTGGGTTTTCATCATTATCTGAGGCATCTGCATGACCTGGGATTTCATCAGTATCTAAGGCTTCTTCATAATTTGGGATTACATGAAGATAGGGAATTTCTGCAAGGATGAGATTTTGGTAGTCTTCAAAATTTGGTCCTTCTTCAAGGTCATGGTTTGGGATTTCTCCAGGGTTTGGGATTTCTTGAACATCTGGGACCCCTTCAGGGTCTGGGACCATATCAAAATATGGTATTTCTTCAATGTCTGGGATTTCAATGAGTCCTGGAATTTCATCATCAAAATCTAGAATATCCTCAAGAGGAGGAAGATCGTCAAAATTCACAGTATCATCATCATCATCCTCATTATCATAATTATCTTCCTCGTCAAGCTCTGGTATGTCTTCAAGAATTGGACCTTGAATCTCAAAGTTATTTGGGATCTCAAGACCTTGGACATCTCCAAAGACTACTCCTTGATTGAGATATTCAAATACTAGTTCTTCATTAACTGTCACATCTTCCTGAGAGGATTCATTTTGCTCAAGGGGCTCATCTTCTGCAAGTACCTGGCCTTCAGGAAGGGCCTGACCTTCACCAAGGGACTGACCTTCAGCAAGGGCCTGACCTTCACCAAGGGTCTGATCTCTAGCAGGGAACTGACCTTCATCAAAGGGCTGGCTTTGAGCAAGGACAGCAGCCCGGGCTTCAGCAGAGGTTTCCACAGGATCAGAAAGTAAAGCATCCTCCTCCATCTTAATACGTTCACTCCTGAATGAGATTGAATTTGAAAAAGCAAATCAGTTTGTGTACTTGGATGGGTTAACAAAAAGGTGATCTTGGAATGCAAACCCCCACAAAAGTTTCTCTTCTGGGTAAGCATAAACAAACCAAGAAAATACTCACTGGATCCGCCTCAGATTCCTGCGTCTGATAAAATCAAGGGCTTCAGGACTGGATGTCCACACACGCTTCGAAACCTGCCTCTGAATATGTGGTGGCACCTGGGGGTAAAATTAGCAAATTAGTGTCATTATACATCTTTTAAATTTTTATTCTCATTTCTGTCAGTTGCCCAGGATTGAAGGCAACACCTAATGTGGAAAGAATTTCTAGACGGAGACTTTAAGGTACCTTTGGTCACCCTCAGGAAGAAATATACAAGTTATCCCTGCCTTGTGAACTGGAGAGAGAGCTGTGAAATAAGTGTGTCCAAAATTTCCAAATACCTGGAAGAGGACATCCCAGTTATCAATCATAGCACGGACCACATTGACAGAAGCAACATAGTGGTCAATCCCCAGATTTGTTTTCCTGGATTCCCTGAAGCCAAATTTCCCTTTCTTCAGGAGAGCCGTTCCGAACACCAAGGCCAAGTTGGTGGAAGTCATACGGTTGCCAAAAACCTAGGTAAAACACAGCAGAAAGTGGTTGATTCTAAAGTAGTAATGAAAGTCATACAAATGAAAATATCTTTATATTCTTGTTTCCTTTTCCCTCTTTTTCTCTGGCTCTGTCTTTCTCATATACTCCCACACGTCTCCAACCACAGCCCTCAGTACCCTTTCCCAGAGCTCTTTACCAACTGTCCATCAACGCCAATAGAGTCCTCGCAGTACTCGGTGATTTTATGCAGGGCCTTCAGCAGACGCTCCAGGGTGTCACTGTGGCATGGTGGCATCAGGTACACCAGTAATTGCAGGGCAGAAAGCTGATCTTGTGGCTTCAGAGCTAGAGGAAGGGGGGGGGGGAAAGGGTTGGCTTAGGGGACTAGACTCAGCAGCATCCTAAAACCAAGAGAAATGTGATTCTGCTTAAAATCACTGAAGGCTGTGGAGAAAGTCCAGGAGGCATCTTCTTTGCTCATTGCCATAGATTTGATCCCAGAAGCCCCCAAAACAAGAAAGGTTCTCATCAAAATAAAATACCTTCTGCAGAAAGTAGGTTCTTCTTCATCCTGAGAGGACACACACAGCTTTAAGAAACTCTGGAGAAATTTCCAAAGGCAGACTTATAATGGACTATTAAGATATAGAAGGAAAGTAATCTGAAGAGGTATTTTCATCTTTAGATGTTTATTCTGTCTTAGTTCCCCGGGGCTTGCAGCCTGAGCTCTGTCCCTACACCCCCACATTCCCTATACTATTTCCTTTCCTTGTCAAACAAGGAAGAAGGGAGAGCAGAAGACTCACCTGCTGTCAGGAGGAAGGACATGTATAGATCATCTGGCAGCAGAGAGTCCTTCATGTCACGGAAAAACTCCTTGAGAAGTGCGGCAACATCATGCACATTCTGATTCTCATCAAACACCACATCCAGACCTTGATCAAATGCTTCACGGAGCTATAAAAAAGGAGAGAACACCATGGACTGCCTGCCCTGCCCACCACAGGCTTCCTTCTGGTCATTTCTTCATTAAGTTTCAGGCTTCAGTGGAGGAAGCTGGCAATATTCTGTGCCTGCTACATGAAACTCCCCTCAGGAATTTGGGGAGCCCCCATGTCACCTGCTTTTTCTTATTAAAAAAAAAAAAAAAAAAAAAAAAAAAAAAAAAAACCAATAGTGTAAACAAACTCAATTTACCTTACTCACTCTCTCCTCTGAGTATTCCATGGTGAAAAGCCCCACCGTGTTTAAGCCTGAAAGAAAAGAGCAGGTATGCTAAGAATCTCTGATCCCCTTCCCCAGGGTATTTTCCTTCTCCCAGCTGCATCCAGAACCCAACTGGTGGCCGGGGAATATTCCAAGCCCTTCATCTTGCAATCTCTTTTCTCTCCCTATTTCTAGAACATGATTCTTTATCTTTAATTGTTTTCTACTTTAATTTAACCATCACTTTTTGTCCCCCTTACCATGTTTCTCAAGGAAGCTGCAGCATGCCTCAACAACACGAGGGATTTGCTTAGCAATTGGATTGAGGCTCATTTTCCTTTTGGATCCCAGAAGTCGACGGCCAATTGGAAAGGAAATTTTGGAAAGTTGCAGGGTCTTCAGCAGCATGGCCCCATCCTCCAGTTCAGCCAGGCTATCCACACATATGGCACCCTGTGAAGAACCCAGAGTATGTTAAAATGGGGAAGCAGGAAGAAGGCTTCAAACCTTCCTGAGTATTGCATCACATTCATAATAGGAAACATTCTTTCTGTGGCAAGCCAAGTACATCCCTACAACATGTTTTGTTCAGCCCCTCCTCCCTCAGAGAACACAGGCCTTGACCCTCATGCCCCACAACTTTGAACATCTCAGGAAGGGCCCCTGCCTGAAACCTGGAAGGTTTAACTCACTCGACGCCCACGGCGAGTGAACTCTCGGGGCAAGGAGGGCTCCTCCCGTCTTCGGTTGAAAAGGCGCCTGATGCGGCCAATCACCCTTTGCATCCTTTGCACCAGGTTTCCCCGACGACGGCGACGGCCTGCAGCCTGACTGGTAGCTTCTTCAATCTGCATCGCGGCTCTTAATTCAAGTTGCTTGCTGCGGGTGAACTCATTCACCAGCACCTCTTCCAGACTAACGCCAAAAGTCTTGAGTGATGCAGCTGAGGAGCCTAGGGGAGAAATGTAAATGCTCAGCAGCGCTCAAATCAGGAGGGACTGCAGGGGCTGTGACGCTCCTCTAAGCAACCTTTCAAAGCCAACCCCCACGCCTCCACACTCAGAGCGCTCCCCCTCCCTCTTCCCCCCTCCCCTTCCCACCCCCGGTGAGTGAGCCAAAAAAGAGCCTGCAGTGGTTTGGCTTCGCCCAACTACCCAATGGAGCTCAAGAGCCCTGCCTTAAGTCCTGCCAGGGGGTGACTACCTTGAAGCAATGAGGAAAATATCTTCAGGAAGATCAGCCTATGGTGGATCTTAAGGGGGGAATGCTTAGGCAGATCTGATGGGACCGCTTCTTGAGCCCCTGCAGTTAGTGCTCCATTTCCTGAAATCTTCCCTGACGGGATTTCTGGGGGGATTGGGGGGGGGGGGGGGGCGTGTCCCCAGGGGCAATAAGCACCGCCAATCTACAGTAGCCAGGGGCACAATACAGAAGGGATGCAGCATCCCCTTTCTTTCCTAAGGAAAATACAAAAGCTCCTTACCCCTCTGTTGTCCTCTTGGAATCAGAAACCTGTTCTCCAAGGTGTTTGGGCTGTCAACAGAGAGATCTATGGAAAAAAAAAAAAAAAAAAAAAACCACGCACACGCGCGCGCGCGCACACACACACACGCGCGCACACACACACACACACACACACACACACACACAAATGGGATCTTGTGACTAAAGCACCGCAATGCATTGATCCACAAGAATGGGGGGGGGGGGTGCTAAACAGCGCTATCCAGCCCGCGAAAAGTGTTTTGCTTTCTCCCAGCCTCAGTTTCCCCATTTAACAGTGGTTTGCTCCTATGTACCGCGTAGACGACGCCAAGAATTTAATCAAACCAGACAATTTTAGGCGCCCTGTGGCACGGCGCATGTTGTTATGCACCACTAGTACCTCAACACAACGCTTAAAACATAAATTCCAGGGCTCTTAGCATTGGGACAGTGCAACAGGCGAAGGGAAGGGAAGGGCTCTGTAAGAGTTGCCAAGTTACTGCGGACACTCTCACGCCTATGATGCCACGAGCTGCGGCGCGAGAAGTAACAACCCACGCTGTCCCCAGGCTCCAACTCCCCCTACCCCCCACCAGCCAAGGCTGCCTGCGGGGTCTCCTAGCCCTTTGCGTAGCTCCTTTCAGGCTGTGTCCCCTGTGCGTGCCTTCCAAATCTGCCTTCTCTGCACTTTACATTACTGCAGGTGCGCCTCCCGCCAGTGCGACCCCCTCCAACTCCCTTCAACTTTTCATCTGAGCCCCCTAGCCCCTGAGAGCCCAGGCGCGCTCGAACCCGTCCAGTACTGCTGGGTCCCACTCGCTCCCTGTGCTCCTAGCGCACCTCCCGCCTTTGCTCTACGCAATCGCAGAGATTGGTGCGTGTCTTTCCCACCCCCCCCCCCCCCCCCCCGCACTGTCTCACCGTCTCCCTTACTCTCGGTCTCTCAACTGCACTATCTCCGTCTGTCCCAGTCCTCTCTCCGGGTGTTTCTCTGCGCCTCGCTCCCACTCTGACTCCTTCTAGTACCGCATCTGGTGTGTCTGTCTCTTCACCTGTGCTCTGTCAACTTGTCTGTCCCTGACATCCGCGGGTCCGACTTGCCGCCCCTCAAACTCCCAGCCTTTGAACCAACTCAATCTCTTCTGCAATTCAACAAACACCCTTCAATTCCCTCTTCCTCGGTTCTTCAGGCGCCCGGAAAACCGACCAGATCTGAGACCAGAATTGTGCCCCCCCCCCCATCCTTCTAGACCCCCAACTCTCCCCGTCCTGCCCCGGGGGTCCACGAGTAGACCCCCAACTCTCCCCATCCTGCCCCGGGGGTCCGCGAGTAGACCCCCTACTCTCCCCGTCCTGCCCCGGGGGTCCGCGAGCAGACCCCCAACTCTCCCCGTCCTGCCCCGGGGGGTCCACTCGCTTAAGAGCGAGGATGCCACACTCCGGGTAATGCTTACCTCGGTTAGGCTTGAATTCAGAGAGAAACTGTCTAGCCACGAGTTCTTGGTAAGCAGTCTCTTGCAGCTTCTGACGCTCCAGCTCTGAGAGACTGTGTATTGATACCATCTTCCTGCGGTCCTGGTTGTGTCCTGGGGCTCCTCCCAGGACGTTCACTAAAAAAATGAAGCCGCAAATCAACAGCAAAAGGGGCATGATTCTGGGGCACCGTGTCCTGGCTGCCTTCAGAAAAGAAGTGCAGCCACCCATTCTGGAATCTGATGATTATCAAGGCTGCATCATCCAATTGTCACTGGACCTGGTGGAGGAAACTGTGGGGGGGAGGTTGGTAGAGGGGGAGGAAAAACTGGGAGGCGGCTTCACCCTGGAGCAGAGCTGCCTCTGGTTGCTTTAAAAAAAAAAAAAAAAAAAAAAAAAACCTGTAAAAAGAAATCAGCCCTGAACCGACAGTCCAGAGAAGAGAAAACCTAATTTGGAAAGAGAGAGAGTGAGGGAGAGAGAGAGACCTTACTCACAGTTTTAAAATGCACATTGACACAAGAATAATGTAATATTTTTCCATTAATTCAAATGCTGATGCAATTTATTTTTTAGTTTTTAATGGTAATACTCAATGTTGTCCAGGTTGGGTGAAAAGGGCACTTTCATCTAGGTTAAGAAACCCTGTATGTTTGTACAGTTCTTCCAGAAAGCAAACTGGGTACTTGAGTCTTGAGCCAAAAAATTATCCCCAGGCCCTTTGACCAGTAATTTCCCTTCTAGGAATCTATCCTAATGAAATCTTCCTACAGACAAGAAAAACCATATTTGCATGAGGCATAAGAGTAAAAAAATAATAATAAGGGAAAAATGTTCACCCAGCAATGAGAATAATTATATAAATTAGGGAATGGTCACAGTATGGGAAATTATGCAATCATGAAAATTATGTTTTGTTTATTTTTTATTGAATTTATTGGGGTGACATTGGTTAATAAAATTATATAAGTTTCAAGCTACAATTCTATAATACATCATTTGTATAGTATGCATTCACCACCCCAAGTCAAGTCTCCTTCTATCTTCATTTATCCCCTCTATACCCTCTTCTATTTCCCCTCCCTCCCTCTTTCTCTCTGTTAATCACCAGAAATGATGTGTACAAAGAGCTCTTAAACCACAAATACAAAATATATAGTTGTATTAATTATGATTACAACTATATGAAGAAAAACACAGATGAAAATAAGACCGAAAGAAATGTACTCAAATATTAACATATAGTATCTATATTCAGTGGTGGAAATTTGTTTTCCTTTTACCTATTTACCAAAAATTGTGCAACTTGATTATATTATTTTTTATGAAAAAAACACACACATCCATTTGTACCAAAACAAACATCATTTCCAGGAAAAGTCTAGTAAGGGTATCTATTCAGGATTTGTGATCAAAGAGAAGTTTGTCTTAGTGTATTAGAAAATCTGTCCCTTTTACATGGTGCCTACTATCTCATACTGCACCCAGACTGCTCAGGATCCCCCAGTGGGATCTGCCTGGACCCACACAATATCCTTTCTTGCACATCTTCACTTCTATAACTCCTTTGCTATTTTATTTATCCATAAAAATAAACCTGTGTTAAATGCACACTTTGTACCAGACACTGAAGATTCAAATATGAGCAAGATAATACTACTCTTTTCATAAATGGTTTAACTGTGCAGTGAAAGAGATACACAGGTTAGCAACAATTTACAAAACCTTGTGATAAGTAATTGGCCAAGATATAAACAAAGTATTGTGAGAGCAGAAAGGAGGAAACATCTAAGTCTGCCTGGAGACAGGGGGGGTAAAGAGGGGAGGGAGGAGGGAGGAGGGAGGAGGGAGGAGGGAGGGGGAGAGGGGAGAGGAAAAGGGAGGAGGAGGAAGGATGGAGGAGGGAGGAGGGAGGAGGGAGGAGGGAGGAGGGAGGAGGGAGGAGGGAGGAGGGAGGGATCCAGAAAGAGAGAACAGCAAGCAGCAAGTGCAAAGGCAAGGAGATGGGAGAAAGGTTGTTATATTCTTAAAGCTGTATAAAGGAGATAAATCTAGATAGGCAGGGGTGAGCTTATGAATGTCCCTGTTAGCCATGCTAAGGAGCTGGATTTTCTCTTGTAGGTAATAGGGGACTACTGCAGGGTTTTAAGGGGGGAGTGACAGAGTCCGAGCTGCAACATGGAAAAATCACATACAGTAGTGAAAATCCTGGTTTGGGTAGAGAGCCTGAAGTAGGTACATCAGCCAAGAGGCAAGAGATGCTGACACAAGTCAAGTGTCACTAGAGCTGGAGCAGAGGATGCATTTTATGGGTAGAATTGACAGGACTTAGGAGAATTTTTTATTGTAATTAAAAGGAAAGTATTTAAGAAGGCTCTGAAGTTTATGATTTGAGTGAGTGTATGCATGCTGGTTCCTGACAGAAAAGATAATTTGGAACAAGATGAACCTTTTGACAAGTAGGAAAGATGTCATATGCCATTTTTCTGAGATTATCTTTCCCATGGACTTTTATGATAATATTCTATATATTATTGGGAATGGGGCTTAGAGTCAAAGACTAGGTAATGTTGCTTTGCCAGAGAAAAGGTAAGTATGAGTTTATCATTCAACAATCTATATAAATAATTTCTACCCAAAAAAAGTCCACCCTACTTTTGTTTCCAAAATTCTATATTCCCATTTTTTTTAATGATCAAAACCACACATGTCAGAAATATATGCTGGCTGGATAACTAAAGTGTAGTATGAGAAAGGATGAGAAGTCTCTCTATGGATTTTTAATTCTTACCCTAGGTTTTTTGAAAGACCTTTCAACTTCAAAACACCATCCCCTCAACCCAAAGAGAATGCCTAAGCCCAATCAACAAACTGCATTCCACAAAATGACCATTTTAACCCAAACACATGCACATAACCTAACCAGAGACAGAGTAAGCCTCTAGCAATCCCCCATTCACAATAGCAGATCCAGAACCTGTTAGCCAAGGGTCTTATCCAGACACATACAGCCCAGCTCTGACTTCATTTTTCTAACATAGCCCCCTTCTTCCCTTACCCCAATTCAGATATTGTTGTACCTGTTCTGTAGTTGCAGCTATTTCTTCTTGCCGAGACTCACCACATCTGCTGGTTCTTTCACCCGAAAAATCAAGATGAATATCAATCCCTCTCCCCCACTCAAATAAGGTAAGAAAAAAATAAGAAAAGCTCAAAACAACACCAACCAGAGAGAGAGAAAAGCCTTTGAGAGATGAGTCAGCCTAGATGCTTATAATTCTGATGGAAATCAAACGCCTTGAATAAACCGTTTGTCATTGCCTCCTGCTCAAAGATACAGAGCTAAACTTAAGAGCAATCATGTGCTGCAATTTTGCTTGCAAAATTGTCACTGTCTTGCTTACCTTCAACTCTCTGAAGGCACTTAGAAGAATACACGACAGAAGCAGGGTTAGGAAGGCCAATGCGCCCCCAAAAAGAAGCAGATGGGTAGGGTTGGGAGGGGGATGAGTAAACAGGTTTAACACTATGAGAGATTTGCTTAACAGGTCCTTGAGATCTGAATATTTGCCCTCAGGCCTGACTTGCTAACCTGAACACAAAAGGGGGTTCCTCACAGGGAATTAACTTCCAAGAGACCTCTCTTGCTCCAAAGTGTCTTCCCCCTCCCCTTATAACATGGTGCTTATAACATGGTGCTGGCCTAAAGTGACCAGGACATTAAAAATATACTCAAGAAGAGGGACCAAAGCAAGCCCTGTCTTACAAAAACAATATCCTTAGACAAATATCTGTAGTGACCACTGGAGTTGGAGCTAAATGGAACTGAGTTCAAAGCCAAGCTTTATGACTTCTTAGCTGTGTGACCTTAAGAAAGTTAGTTGAGTTCTCTGAGTCTCAGTAGCTTCCTCTATAATAGGGGTGTCGAACTCAATCAGAGAAGGGGCCAAAATCTAAAATCCAGCCTAAATCGCTGGCTGAATGGTTTACTGAACAGTCATAAACTGTCATTGTGATGGAAACACAGCGGAGTGCAGTGATGACAGCGCGGTGCGGGCCACATTGCAAGGCCTGGCGGGACGGATTTGGCCCGCGGGCCTTGTGTTTGACACATGTGCTCTATAACATGAGGCAATGATGCAGTACCCATTTTAGCAATTGTGTGAGAATTAAATGAATAATGTATGTATGATATTTAGCATGGGTTTTTAATAAACATGTTGATAATGAAGGTTTTTTTTGTTTTTGTTTTTGTTTTTGCAGAGGGCGTGACTTTATCAGAAAATATCAAGTTTCAAAAGTAAACATTTAAAATTAGAATTTGTATAAATACATCCAAGGACTTACTCTCATCTATCTCTACTAAATCTGAATTATATGAAAACAGGTAAAGGATCCTGAAAGATTGTTGGGAATAAATCTTTCTTCCTCAATCTCTGATGGCATTAGGGTCAAGTATAAAAAAATAATCTTAAAAAAAAATTAGAAAAAAATAACTGCATAAGTCAGTTTTCAAATGCTATTATTCAGATTAGTAACATGTCTCAAAATGGATTTCCTTCAAACCATACAATTTTACATTTTCACTAAAAAAATGTATAATTTCATTTGGATCGATAAAGGGACTAAGATATAAACAGATACAGGAGAGAGAATTTGAACAAAGAGCAGAGGCACAACCAGATCAAGTCTCCAGCAATTCAAAAAGGGGAAACACGTCCTCCCAAAATGCATGTCACAGATGGAGGAACAAATTAACGTCCGAAAGGTCACCTGCTTTGACATTGCCAGGACAGAAATGCTCTCAGCTAGGCATAAATCCACAGCCTTCACAATTTGGTGGACTAATTAACTCCATTGCCCCAATTCAATAGTTAGGGATGGTGCAGTGATCACTAGTAAATCCCTGTGAGAGAAAAAAAGGGGGGACTGCATTGATGCCATCTTTTGAATCTTTAAAAATTAGTCATTTTATGCCATCATCAGAATTTTGCTCCAAGCCTCTGATTGCTCCTCAGAGTTTGAGATATTCATAGTGGATGGGGCTGGGTGCCCAGAAGGCATTGCATCTATGTTATTCAAATGTCTATAGGCCTTGACAATAGATAAAGACATTTCCCATTAAATTATCACAATTTGAGAAAAAGATACAGGTTTCTAGATGAAAACATTTGGGCACCAATTTTGTCTGCTGTCACATCATCTCATTCATCCTTGAGCATTAATGAGTTAACCTTTAAGTTGTTATCCTATAACCTCCATTTCAGCAAGACAGCAGAATGAAC